TCGATATTAATGATGGTACACTCATTATTTCGGGCGAAATCAAACAAAACGAAAAGTATAAATCAAGGAATACTTGTGTTCAAGAACGACGTTATGGAAAATTTAATCGTTCAATTTCGCTTCCGCCACACGTTAAAATTGACGACATTTTTGCCAAGTTTGATAATGGAATATTAGAAATAAAAATTATGAAAGTAAATAATACAACAATTAAAAAGAAAATCAACATTCAATAGTTGGGCTTAAAGGAAATTCTCTGTTGGCCGTTTGAAAGCATATTATTTAAAGTGAAGCAATTATTTTGTTTTCTTACATATCATAGAAATAAGAAGACTGGCACAGTAAACCGATATCATATAGTAAAAGTTGTTCTATTTAAACTTTTAAATGTATAATATATATAATTGATAAAGCAGTATATTAATATAGTATATTGTTAATTTTTAATTTTTGGTTCAATACTAAACTGAGTTTTATTTAGAAATTTACTGTTGCAATATTATATATGTATGATATATTGTCTTAGATTTTTTTGACTTTATTTAATATTGAATTGTATTGTTTTTATTTTTGAAAATAAAATAAAACTCTACTTTGATTTCTTTATATTCCAACTTTCATAATGGTGACTATTTTTTCAATATTAAAGCATTCATCCACAAAAAAAACTGACCTTGAAATCCATCTCGAAACCGCCGAGAATTAAATCTTATACTGCAAGTTATTTATATTATTTAAGTCATATGTTTGACCAATCTAGAAATCAAAAGCTTAATAAATTTCTATTTCCTGCTCTTGGTATAGATTGCAACCTGTTTTAATCATCTTTTCAAAACCCGGACGGTTTTGAACAAACCAATTTGCAATTGGTAAATTGATAACCCAATTCATAGTTTAATTCGATGAGGATCAGACGAAATAGCAAATAGTTTTGGATTATTCATTTAATAGCATTGTTTGTTTTCCAAGTGGAAACTTTTTATTAATTTCTTTATTCAAGAAACAATTATAAGAATTCGAGTTTCTTATATACATGTCCATTAATTATAGCGTAATAATTTTATGCAAACGCAATGTTACTTACTTACATGCACTGTTTTCATGACGCTATTGCTATAACAATATACAGTGTGTGACGAAAATAATGGCGGCGACAAAAGTTGCAAATATTGAAAAAAATATAGGTTTGCAACTATTAAATAAGTTTATATTCAGAATTTTTGACTTGACCATTTTGCCTCATTCGCGTAACATGTGCTTATAAGATGCTAGATAGAAAGTAGAAGTAGACGAAGCCTTCTATAAATGTCTTCAATGTGAGATAAACAATCTGGTAATCATGATAAACAACATATTTTATTGTTTGTTATTATTATGCAAATAAATCATGAACCCTCATAGAATACGAAATCTCATATCAGTACAATAAGATGATATATAAATTGATAGAAGTATGATTTGATCCTATTAACAGAATAATATATTTTTCAATTTATCAAAATCTTCTTTCTTCTAATTCTAAGCCAATTTTTCAAATATATTGTAGGTATGAATTGGAGCATTAGTTTTTCAATATCTTTGGAATTGTCTGATTTAAAAATAATTCTGATTTTTTATCTATTAATTCATTGCAGCAAACTAATAATCCTTACTTTTGATGACAATGAAGCTTGTTAAATACTTTTGGACCCATTCTTTATTATATATCTTTAATTAATTTATTAATTGTGGGCGATACCAAAGTTTTGTATTTTTAATAGTAATAGTCAAAAATTGTATTATTCTCTAATAAAATTAACCTCAAAATAATTCCATCTAAAAATTAACATAGTTTGTGTGATCAATAAAGACTTTTCTATGTAGGAAACAGAGATTTGAGAGTCACTCTGATTCATTCCGGTCCTGTTTACTTCGTCGGCAATCATTTCGTCGACACACATTTTGTCGAAAGTTTGTTTCGTCGAAAGTTCATTTCGTCAAAAATTATTTCGTCGACAATCACTTCGTCGAAAATCACTTCATCGACAATCACTTCATCGACAATCATTTCATCGAAAGTTCATTTTGTCGAAAGTTTGTTTCGTCGAAAGTCCATTTCGTCGAAAGTTTGTTTTGTCGAAAGTTCATTTCGTCGACAGTTCATTTCGTCGAAAATTATTTCGTTGGCTTATGTATCGTGCTAATGATAAATGAGGTGATGATGGTGATGGCAACAATATTGACATTGAATATTTTAGTATTGATAACAATTATTGTTTTTTAGTAGAGTGTGTGGATCAGACAAATTGGTAATATTCCTTTCATGATGCATAAATTTGAGTCAT